TAGCTAGAAGAATTGCAAGAACCAGTTCCTCCAAGAAGAAGAGATTCGTGGGATCAACAATGAGTTTTAGAACAGAGACTGGGTTGGTTTGAGAACTCAGATCTGGGTTTGAGAAAAACCCAGATTCGGAGAGGAAGAAGAAGGGAGAAGAGAGACAGAAAGAATAAGAAGAAGAAAGAAGAAGGAAGGTTGATAGAGAAATGGGAAGGCAACTGTCGCATGATTGAGAGAGGAAAGGAGGAAGAAGATGAAATTTTTTTTTTTGGTTGAAAAATTGTAAAATAATGATAAAAATGCCACATCATAAATAAAAAATTATTTTAGTTTACACGTCATTTAAAAAAAATATAAGGATTTATATTGTGGTAATTTAACGTGTCACCTGTCATTTAACTGGTAGAAGGACTGTTTTGGTATTAAAAATGAAAGTTTAAGGATAGTTTTAATATTTTTTAAAGTTTAAAGATAATTTTGATACCAAAGTAAAAAGTTAAAGGACCAAATGGTACTTAAACCGCTATATTACTATTCTCAAACAAAATCTTTTTCTATGGGAGCTGATGTGAAAATTTTGGAAAAGTTAAAGGGCTTACAATTCGATTTTACCGGAAACGAACCACTTTGTTCAAAAAGAAAGAGGATCATTCTTGTTCGGTCGATCCCTCTCCCCAGAAGCCATACTTTACTTAACCTCCAATTCTCGTTTCCAATGAAAGCCGAACCTCTTCTCACTTCCCTTTGAAGATTCATCTTCATCATCATCTCATTTTGATGGTGGGTTTCTTCCAAGAACCCTGTGATGAGCAAGATAGACTGAGGGATTGATTGTAAGACTTATTTAGGTAAAACTCCACTTTCTCTCTTACTGTACTCAAATCTTAGATGCATACGGTACACATCTTCATGTTTATATATCTGCAGATTTTAGTATGGTTTTGATTTTTTTGAACAAGTTATGGAAAGTCATTGATTAATACGGATATAAGGGTGTGAAGAACGGGTTTTGAATGAGTATTGCTTGGTTGCTATGTATTAATTTTGTATAATGAAAGTACGTAAGAAAAGGTTCAAAAGATGGGAAATGGTGAAAAGGTCTAATTTTTGAAGGTTTGGTGAAAGTCGAAAATTTAAGATATTATCAAGGATTATATATGTAAAATTATAAATCTTCCATAAATTTTTCGGGAGCTTGAGACCCTTGATTGTGAATTTTGATGGCGGAAATTCAAGGTGAATACACACATCCACCATGTTAATCTTATTGTTAACTTTACTTGTTCAAGTATAATTATTATATTTGAAATTCTATGGGGAATTTATGAACATCGAGTGCCTGAGGGTATGGTATTATGAATGCAGTATTCATGAATTTAGCTACTTGATATATAAGTCGATCTAGAGTTATGCTTGATTCTAGCATTGTAAAGATCGTCGATTGACCATATTCTTGGGAATGCATGATGGAATTTCGATTAATGGAGATATATTTTGAATTGTTTAAATCTTTTTGTTTTAGATAGAAATTAGAAAGTTCAATTTTCAGATGATATTCTATTGGATTTTGTTAGATTAGATAATTTGGTTATATTGAAAGATTTGGGATTTGTAGAATATTGAGATGAGTAAACTTGATTCATCATGAGATGAGTAAACTTGATTCATCATGAGATGTCAAGTCATGGTTACTTATCTCCTGAGACAGGCCCCAAAGGATTGATAAATAGTGGGATGTGTGAAATTTATATCATTGGAGTTTTTGTTTTAAAGGTGAGACTTATCAAATCTTGCCACATCCTTGGTTAGTCACTTATGGACATGATTATCTCGTTATGTTTAGATACTTCATTATATAGGCCCTTGTAATATGTAAATATGTAATCATATCATGGTAGTAATAATATACTTTTATGCATGTATATAAAATTAATGAGTTTGGTATATTCACAACATATAAAGAGCTTTTTTTTTTCTTTTTTTTTTTTATGTCAGCCAAACTTTTTTGTCATGTGAACCACGCATATCTCATTTTTCTTCGTTCTTGACTTTACTTTTTTATTTTTAATTTATTTGTACTTATTGATATGCATCGATCACTGATTGTACATGGTATGAGAGCTTATTTTCCAATATATAGCACCTTTTTGGGGAACAACTCCTATTCAATAGAAATAGGTCATTTAAAAATTCTCTTCTCTTCTTTTCTTTTCTTTTTTTTTTCTTTTTTCTTTTTATAGAATTTATATGAAGTGGCACTCTATACATCTTTTTCACTGTTGGCATGAACCATGCAGGTCAGTTTTCCCAACTTGGAAACATTGATTATTTTCGAATTTGGAAAACATGGACATAAGAAGCCCCAGCAAATCCTCTTCCTCCAATAAGAGATTTCAATCTGGTGCTGAAGATGAAAGCCATGCATCTGCACTAACTCAATCAAATGAGTCAAAGTCTAATCTTCCTGAGACCGCACATCCCTGGAATAAAGAATCCCAAAGTGTCTCAGGCTTCGGAAACCAGAAAACACTGAAGTTGCTAGAATGCATCAAATTAAAGAATTCCGTGTCATCTTTGTTATCTTTCCAAAATTTGACAGCTCTGGAGGTGTCAAGATGTCATGAATTAGAAATTTTAGTAACTCCCTCAATAGCTAACAGCATGGTGCAACTCAAAAGAATGAGCATAACTGATTGCAAGAAGATAGAAGAAATCATAGCACGTGAGGGCGAAGAAGTGGAGAAGGAAATTGTTTTTTCCCAACTGAAGTCTTTGAGATTCCAATGGTTACCCAGCCTCAGGAGTTTCTGCTTGAGCAAGTACTCCTTCAATTTCCCATCTTTGGTTGAATTGATTGTAAAAGAATGCCCTAAATTGGAGGTTTTCTCTCATGGTAAGATAGACACTCCAAACCTGCGAAAAGTATGTCGAACAGGAGAAGATAAGGGGTACTGGACAGATGACCTCAATACCACCATAAAAATGCTTTATGCAGGAAAGGTACCTATAACTGCCTTTTTATTTTATTTTATTTTTATTATTTTTATTTTTTATAAGTTCATATGCTTCTTCGTCAAATTAATTTGAATTCAGTCTTAGTCCTCTTCTTTCCGTTGCTCAATCTCAGAGAGAGCGTTTGGAGGAGTTGGGGTCCCTGCGTTGGAGTTTAGCTAACCTTTGGGGTCCCCTTATCTGGTGAAGGTCTATGAGTGTCATCTTCAATTTGAAAGCCTTCCAATTCAAAGTGTATTGAAATTATGGCAGGTTTTAGTCTCCATTTCTAGTTTTCTGCTCTGCTAGCATTTATTTTCCCATTGGTTTGGATGGTACTTGAGATATTAATTAAACAATCATGTTGTCATGTTTTTCTTTTGAATATTTATTAGGTTTTATATTGTCATGCAAATTAATTCAAATTTTTCTGCTTTATTTTTAACTTGGAATAATTTTGGTATTCTCCATAATCAAGATCATCCTCCCCAAGTCCATAGTGAAGAGCAAGAGGATGTATGAGGCGTATGCTCTTTAAGTTCCCGAGTCCTCATGATCAATGAAGGACTATCTGAGGTGATTGGCAAGTTCTACGGCTTTGCTTGTCTTCAATTGGACGACCTTTCACTGCTATGACCATCGGAAGGTTCTCTAATTTCCTCTTCAATTCCATTTGTGGAGGAGGACGATATTAAAAACAAAAACGTTAACAATTTAACTTGAGGAATTCAAATTGCTATCAATCATGGAAAAAACAAATGTTACATGAGGAATTTAAAGGATTGAAGAGAAACGGAAATCCCTGTACTTTCACAAAAATTCAATTTAGTACTCACTCTATTTTAAAACATTTTGTTTGAAAGTGTTAAGAAAAAAACCTAGTGCATCATTATTTTTCGTGTCCAATTCTACCATCCCTCCCCCCTCCTCCCTTCAATTTCCTCAAACCAAACATGCTACCGGAATTGCATTTTGCAAACCTATTTCTAGTCTCGGCATCATCTATTACGGCTCTTTAAAAACCCAGTTGATTCAATAAATAATATTGAACTCTTATTATAAAAAGTTTGGAGATCAAATATGCACTTAGACAGAGAGTGCAGGAGGAAGTGCTTCTAGCACTGCTCAATGGGTTAGTTTGAACAAATAAAGGCATAGGATTAATGCTATTCCTTTTTAGTTTAATTAAGTATTTTGAAAAGTGAAATTTAAGACATTCTTATATTAAAAATATCAAAATATTTAATT